TACACGAGCCTCTCAGCATCTAGTTCATATGTAGTAAATTTAAGCGATTTAGTTCATATCTTCGTCATTTTCTTGGGAAGCCTACAGACTCGGGTCTTCTCATAACTTATTCTAACCACCATGAGTTGTCACGGCAGCTGATGGATGGACATGCGTTACACATCCTAACCGTACCTGCGTCTAATCTTTAGCTCCTTATTCAAATGCCATATGATAGGCACTAATGGAACACTAGTAACTCAAAGGCACCCTGTATGGTACCTTACATTGGCCTACGCACTCGCTTAGCTCTTTAGTGAGGATATTACTACAGTCTTGCTGAGTATCCCATGAACCCCCTATCTCCACCAAAACAAGTAAGTCTGTGTTTGCTGCATACAGCAATTTTATTTTTCAGAACTAAGATATAACAGTTAGAATTGGAGTAAAATGGCAGTATACAGCAGATGCACGTGGTACACGTCTTCGTCGATTAACCGCCATTGCTTACAAAGATGGCGGATATAATAATTCCTGTCTCATTCTGATTGGTTGCTAAGGTGAATGCCACATTTACGAAATTGAGTTACGTTTAATAGCTCCCTATCGAAAGTGTAGAACCTTTCTGGCGAGGGGCTCCTGTAGTGGCTCACTTTTATCACGAGGACACGACTGGTTTAATGAAAACAAATATTATTATAACCAACTGTACCAGTGCTTGTTTTCATGTGCTTTTGTCTAACTGTGCTAATTACAGCCATTTTGTGCTTCCTTCAGGTTCCATCATTGTTCCACGGTTTTTGGCTTTGTTCGCAGGTACTCCGTTCCCATGCTTTCGCTTGTACCGTTGCTTAGCACGATCGTGATATTCGTTCGATATCACGAGATCGTCAACGAAATAAATCTGGTTACGTTCAACCTTCGCCTTCTGATTTGTTTGGTACGCGTTTCCTTGTAGTGGCGTTCATAGTCAATTACGATTCGACATCAAGCTACAAGGCAACCCTTGGAAGATTGCACATCAAAGAGCGAACACCCAGATGCTCTCTCACCTTTTATCATCATTAGTCGCCCTCATTTGGAGTGTTTTCCCATCCTAAGTGACTATCACCCCCTCAGTACATGGGTTTTAGAGAAGACTTGGCAAGCACTAACCCATGCATTACCATCTCCCTCTTCGGCCAGCTGTGTCTGATGCATGTCTTACAACTTGCCGCGGTTATCATTACCACAAATCAGTGACCACTTTCCATTTCCTTTGTTATCATCTCCGTTTCCCCTCTCATCTTTTCGGCTCCGTCTTCTTACACATTACCAATTAGTTATTCCTCCTTGGGGTCGTCGTTTTCTCTTCGCACTCAAATTATTACTTTACTATCCCTACATTGCAACAATCCAGTTTCTTGCCTGGTAATGTGACAGCTGCTGGTATCAAAAATCTTACTCTTCTGAGAAAAGCGCACTCAATCAAATTGCAAGATGTACATATTGTAGCGGTAAATAAATCCCCAAAATAAATAGCACTAAGTTTTCGACATTGGATGCTGACCATATGTTTTAGTGGACTGACCTAGCTGAAGGCGCTCGGTCAGGCATCCGCACCAGATCACGTGTGGTAACGCCGTGCTCAACATCAACCGCAATCGTTAGCCAGATTAGATCAGAGAATTCCGATATATTGGTCATCGCCAAATATACTCTTCTGATCTCCTCGACTCTGTCTTTTGATTTCTCTAGGCGGGAACGAAATATATTAGGTGTTACTGGTAGAAGCGTTGTCAAACACTGAATACCTGTGACATCATCATTGGTGAGCCCGACGTGATCTGGTACACCTAATTGCAACTGTGAGTCTGTTCCTTTTTGGGATTTTTATATATCATTGCCTTATTTTTATTTTTTTTGACTTGATATGAGAATTTATTTCAGTAAAGTGTACAAATAAATAAGTATGCTTATTTTTTTCCTTTGTCTTCCATAGTAGTAGGCAAATTCAAAATTCTAACTGATTTTCGTGCAATTTGGAACATGTGAAAACTGCTTCCGGTGTATTGGATCTATTTACTGTATCGGATAGAGAAGGTGGTAAGTGGAAATGCTGCACAACTAGCTGATGCCGTTTTATCTTGAAACACCATTCAAGTGTAGATGATCTGAAAGCCGGTTCAAGTGTATTCCCACTGATTAACCAAGGAATATGAAGAACTGTGAGTAGACCATCATATTCTGAATACACTGGATTCGCCTGTATCTGGTCACGCAGTCCTTGTACTCGAAACATATAATCACAGTAATGAGATAGACGAGTCAATAGACCAGGCGGTAGCTTCATTGTAGGTAACGTGACAAAAACTGTACAGTGACTGTTTTGAATTAGCAGGCGTAATGTAGCAAAGAAATTAAGCATATTCCTGTAGAACTGTTGAGTATCTTTGCAATAACCCCACATAGGAGAGCCGCATGAGTTTATCACTATCCGTTGTATACCTGAAGACACTTTTGTGTTTGATCGAAAAATAATTAATTTTTGAATTAAACTGAAGAGATTGGTATGCAATGTTTTTTTACTATCCGGTTGAAAATAACAAGTTGACACATTTTTCTCAGATATTCGAGCAGTTGCATTCATGGGTATGGTTATATTGAAATGATGCCCTAAACTCGATACAGATGAATTTACATTCTTGGTGTTTGGGACATTTTGATAACGCCAAGCGATTTTAAGATCTGAAATTTCTTCTTTGATCTCATTTGTAGAAGTCATATGATCTGGTAATTTACATAGTAAATTGTCAAATGTTTCCGTTGCACCATAGAATATACTATGACCCGATAATATACCTTCTGCTACGAACAAATTTAAGAGCAGTTTTGCATATGTTTGGTGAAAATCTGGCTCGATAAGAACTATACTTTCTGAGGTCAAATGAAGGAATCCCAGTAGAAATTAAGAATGTGGATAGCTTAAATGAACGTTTCACACCATTCCTGTGACATCATCAATATCCACAATTGACTACCGAACCTGCTAGAATTAGTGTAGCCAAAAGTCTAGACTATCATCAACTGAACATTACTAGATACCCAGAACGGTACTATGATAACAAGAAGCTATCACAGATAAACGAACCAATTCATAGAAGCTCGTGATAGTGTTGAATTTTGTAATTTGCTCTTTTGGTTGAAATGAGTCATTTTCAAATGATGTTTAGTCTTCAAGTTGTTGGTTTACTATTGTTTTTCTGGTTTTTGTAGAGTTTTCGAATTCAGAAAGCATTATATTAAACTCGTAGTAGCCTTTTCTAATTATTTTTATGTCCTATTACAAAATGTCGCGGTCGAATTGTTTGATGTCCTTGAAGAGGTCAGTTTTTCTTGTCTTGGTTCCCGAGATTTCGCTTTCTATTTTTCATATTTTCCGTACTTTTGAAAATAATTTACTGTTCAAAACGGTGATTTTTTTTCGGTTAGCTTGTCATATTTTTAAATTATTCTTGTTGGTCATTTTTCACTCAAAGGGTAATTACTAGTAGACTACCAGTAAACCAGCTGGTTTTCAGTTATCACCTTGTAAATTTCCCAGTTGTTGGGATCCGTTTTACTCGTCAAGGTAAACTGAGATCGATTTACCTGTGATATGTTTCATTGATATTACGTTTATCCGATCTCTGCTGTTTTTATCTGGTCGTACTATTGTACATTTGGGGAAATTTTGGAGTTTTTTGTGCCATTTCTACCGAATTTTCTACTGTGGCTTCATCAAAACGTACGAAAGCTTGCTCATAATAGGGAGACGGGTGGTATGGTAATTTTAGTCGACTGACATGTGTCAGGCTCTATTTGGTGACATACTGGTAGAACTAATCAATATGGAGCTTGCCACAAATACCCGAATCTGTCATTTTGTATTGTGATAATATGCTTCTCTGTATGCTCAACGTACTCATATTTTATTTGATCCTTGTCTGAAAAGCGGTTTTCTTAGTAGTTCAAGTATTTTTTTTAGTTATTGTCATTATTGAAGGAATATCGAGGTCAAGTAATGCATTCGCTTTTAGCTATCAAGTTTATCTTGTGACAGTGCCTTTAAATGGATCAGAATTATTCTTGTATTCGTCGCCTAAACCCATTGTATACCAAGTGTTGTTTTTTATTGTTGATCAGGAAAACAACCAGTTTATTCAAACACTATAATTGGCAGCTACTGGTCTGTGGCTGTTTAAAATTCACTAACGTGATTTTAAAAAATATGGATCATAGTCAAAGACCACAGACTAAAAGGCAATGCTAAACCATATCTAGATAAAAATTGTGTACCTATTCCTCTCAGTGTCCACTGAGTTCTTTCTCAAATGCATCTTTGAGGCTTCCATCTTTATGTTGTACTCTGACAAGCGTACCTCTTTTAATATAATCCGTAAGTATTTAGGCAATACGTCTTGGCACAGGTTTTAGCTAAGTGCTCAAACTCAGGCTTCAGTTAAACTTGAATTACTGTTGTTAATTTTGTTACTCCTGAAGCGTGACTACAAAATTTAACAGAAATACTTGAATTCCATCATGTTTATTTCGCGAGTTCTCACGCTGTTTCCAGTGTATGATGTGCGATGTTAAACCTTATACCTGCACCAAACATCCATGAATCATGATTAGATGTTTTTTGGTCTTACTACTTAAATCAGCAGCTTAGTTCATAGTATAAACAATGATTGGATGTGATATCCGTGTGATATTTTCAAATGAAAACAACTTATGCAGAACTAATAACCAGTAATTTCTTCATGTTAGATAACTTAATCAACATCTTACCAATAAGTTCTTTTTCTTTATTTTAGTACTTCCAACTTATTGAATATGCTCTAGATAAATCAATCAGATTTAACATTTCATTACAACCGCATAAAGATGGTGAATGAAATTTTCAATGTAATATGTATTCAACATTTCACTCATTTGTATTATCAATCACTTCATATGTGACTGTCATCAATTAATTATTAGCACCTATTACATTAAACAATATGATCATTTTACAAATTTATGTGCATTTACTTAAATTATCATCATTATCACTAATCTTCATTTTACTAGTATCTTCTACTAATTTATCTTATCCTACAAATTCTGTTAAGAGTTTATTGCCTAGACAAAATATCATTTCTCCAGAAGATCACTTAATTAAAATTATTTCTAATAATTCTATAAATTATGGTTGTGATTTTAATCAACTACAGTTTTGTTCATATGAGCATTCATCTGATTGGAGTTTTCAGTTAAGTTTAACAGAATTTGCTTTAAAAATGAAAGAGGCAGCTGAAACAGCTGCTAAAGTTGTTCAAAATTTTCAAGAAACATTGTCACAAAACAATAATACCAACAATACCACAAGGACCCAGGTTAGTGTAGTGTTTGAGTTTTTTCGTCTCAATTTCTAGTGAACTGAATTGTTTTAAGTTCTATTTCATTGTTTTATGAGGTTAAATTGTTCGAATAACAATTTGAACTGCATCCAGAATGGTGGACTTTACAGTTAGTATTCAAACAAAAAATCAACCTACAAATTCGTTGGCTTTGTTGACATCCACTATCTAAGCAAGTATAGAATGCGTGGTGAGTATTGTTAAGATAACCAGAGTCCTTGGTTAGAGATCTAAAGTGGCACGGTTCTGAATCAGTGACAGGAACACAAATACAATTATTTATGTTCCTCTAATTATTATCATTCAATTCTGTAATTTTACTCGTGTATTTCAGCCTCTACAATACCTAGGTAATTGTCTGTACCAAGTATGTGAATTCTTGTTCATAACCAATATTGTTTAAAAAAGCATACCATTCGTGTTTGTAAGAAATATGCGAATTACTCTAATTTTTTACATGGTATGATATCGCAACCATTATATCTGCTAATTAAACTAAGCAAAATTACAGACTCATTTATGTACAGGCTAAATATTCAGTCGGTTGATAAACTGGTCGGTACGGTTATTAGTTTGCTTTACCATTCAAATGCAGGATTATGGTTGTCTGTAAAACATTTGAATTAAGTAAATAATGAGCATAGGTTGCAAGTTTTTGATTATAAAATTTTAAAAGTATTTGTCTGAAGTTATCAAAGAAATAATGGTCAGATTAAATGTACAGCCCTAGTTAGATTTTACAATTGAATTCACCTAGCTATAATCTTCCATCGAATGGTTTAGTTGGGACATGAGTAATGTATACATGACCATTATCTATGTCTTGTGATATGCTGCACACCATGGAAGAATAGACTTAGAAAGAGCTAGAAACTGCTAAACGTAGGATATGGGCGTAATCCATGAAGTCATTGAATGCTTCTGGTTATTCAGACTTCCTGATCAAAGTCTTCATCACATAGTTGATTCATAGTTAGAGAACTTTATGTGAGATGATAAGTGGATTAATCCTTTATTTTCCCGTAATGCTTGAACTTAGCATCATCTCAAATCGTATTTATCTATTTGAACACATAAGTATTGGTACAAAAGGGCACCGAATACATATGCGCCACACAAGTCACTTGATTTGTGTGTGGGCTATCATACTGCCCGGGTGCCCAAACTGAAACAGGTGGTTTTCTTAGGGAGCCTTTGACCTAAAGATCTAATCCACAAGGCAGTAGAGCAACGTTAGGAAATGCAGTCCTATAGTAGTCGGTGACCAACAATAGGTTCATACGTCATTTGTTTCCTTAGGATCTTGGAGCCCATATCCACCACTGATTTGCAACCAGGGTTTTCCAATTCCCCTAGGTGGACACAGAGGGTCCACCAACCCGTTATAGTGCTGAATATTCGTTTTTCGCCCACTCAATTTCGTAAACAACAGTAATGCCGCGAGAAGTTAGTGAGTAGGACTTCCTGATGGTGACTGTATAGGCGTGGCCATGTGAGAGCATTTGGAGTGGGACAGCGAACTTTTCCCACTCTCGGTCGTCCCAGGCCATTTGGATACAAGTCGTATCTTCGATGTCTAACATTTTCTCCATCGCTAATACTGTTATTATCTGCACTTCTTTGGAATTTAGTTTTTCATCTCATTTTACTAATGAAGTGTGGTAATTTAAGCGGACATACAGATATGCCAGGTTTTATGTCGTATATTACTAAATGAGATTCTTCAGTATTTTGTGTACTTGTCGGATTATATTACATGTGCTTAGTTTCATACTATTCCAACTCTTTTGAGTGATAATGTACTTTTTTTATTAAAAATTGTGTAACAAGAAAAGAAGGATCATTATAGTATAAATTTATGTCCTTATTTTGAATTATTCCTTATGTACTAATTTTATTAATACACTTTTCAATGTGTATTTGTGTGTTAAGATAAATAAAATGTATCACTAGGCTGTAAAAATAATGTATCCAGGGTGTATTTTTCCATGTGATCGAAAGTGTGAAGATGATAGATTTAGTAAATAAATTCTCTCCACAACCCCTCCTCCTCCACAAAGTACGTTCTGTATATATTTTAATAAATTCAATTTAATGTTACTTGTTTAGTCTTAGTAGCTATGATAATTGAAAAAAAAACGATTGAAGTAATATGATAGATTATGTAAAATAATTCAAATCCAGATCACTGAATTAGCGAAGAGGGAAAAAAAGGGACTACTGTTTTTATGAACATTGTAACTGGTTAGAACTAATTAACTAGTAGTTTACTAGTTACATGCATCCAATGAGACAGTCATAGGCAACATAGAACCTGACTCATATGTGTATTTATCAGTACAGAGAAATGAAATTATCTAGACATACGACAGAAGTAGTATGAAGATAAATAGGAATAGAAAAGACAACACACAGAAATACGATTCCCAAAGAGTAAACTACAACTAATGTTCTCCACACGACCAATAATTACTCCGAGGTTGAAAGATAAATTACCTAGACTAGCCACCTTCAACTGCTCCTATGGAGCAGGTTATATTGGCAGATGATCTCGGAATCTGTACATTCGAGCTCGTGAGCACCTATCCTTGTGGTTAAGCAAAGGTGTAGTCAAAACTGTTAACAGCTCCATCTTAGACCATCTAGTTCAAACAGGACATATAGCCAACATGGGGCAATCTTTTGCAATAATCTATCGTGTTAATAGCAGTCTACCTAATTCCGTCAGACTGCGAATCCTACAGACGGCTGAAGCAATTGCTATTCGGATCAAAAGACCAGAGCTTTGCATCCAAAAGAAGTATGTTCAGCCACTCCTTTTACCTTGGCCAACTTTGGGGTCAACTAGTTAATAATCGATCTTATAATATGGTGACGTAATCTGATCAATGTTCATTTTATGTCCTAAACTTATTATTATTATTATCTTTACCATTGTCGTTATCATCTTTATCATTGCTATTATTATCATCATTACACTTAATAACGTTTTTGAGGAATTTATCCAGTATCCGCCCCTAAATCTACTATATCTGACAACTTCATATTAGTCAGCTCCAACATTAACGATCTGAATTGATTTTATATAACAAACAACAATTCTCAATTCACATATTACAATTTCCAAATGATGTACTCTCTGCCTTAAATCTGACCAATTTTATGGATTATTAATTTGGATTTATAATTGTAGAAGCTGATAAGAAATTCATTGAAAAGAATATTCTTCGTTCATACAATTGTGTTTTAAAAATTGAGTTCTCAAATAAAAAACATAAAATAATTTTAGAACCCGAAATCTAAAAGAAGACAAGGAGTTGACGCGTCTGCTCCATCGCGACTGATTCTGAGCCATGTCACTCAACATCTTCAACCATTGAATCGCGTGGACTCTAACTAGGTAGGCTATACCTGTCAGTATGGCTCAACCCGATAGTCACTGATTTCATGGATGGGTGCCGCGTTTTTGTTTGAGCACTCAGAACTTCCTTCCAACTTATTTCTACATCAGCCAACTTCGTGTGTTGAGACTGGTTGCAGTTGGACACATGTAATACATGTCCCAACCATCTCAGTCTATGAAGATCCACTACCTTATCAACTGGTTTTGCATCATCTCAACATTACTCACTCGATGATCCCAAAATACGTGAAAGATGCTTTTAAGTCACTTATTAATAAATACGGGTAATCTATCAATATTCTTTATTTTTAAAGACAGCGTTTCATAACTGCGTTATTTGCTATTGTAAACAACTTCATCGTATCTCATTTTCATTACTAAAATGCAGTCATAGGGTTAAGCATAAGACACTAAATAAAGATGGCAAATCGGTTAATGAAGTAGTGAAATGTTTCATGTATACCAAAACACCCCGTATTTTAACTCTTAATGTTGGTTGATGTATGAGTAGATTAGAAGGAAGCTAGAGGGGTTATAGAAAGATATCACCAGTCAATGAAATGTTTGACTATTGAACTAACTTTTTCTGGTAGATGCAGATTATTCGGTTACCGTTCGCTCAATAAACTCAATCAATAGTCGGAGATCTTGAGTGACATGGGTGATTAAGGGTTACGATGGCGTAGATACATTCACTTTATATAACTCTAGTTTTTAAGTCTCAGTTATCTTTCATATGCACTATCCTATTCCGTCTTTTCATGTCATATTCTGAATGGTTAATCTTTCTCATTATCATTTATGCTACTGTTTGACTTGTTAGTTTTATCTCATTGTGGTGTTTTAATATGAAGATCTGGGTTGACTGTGATTTATGTTAGGTTCTGTGTTGATTATAGTTTAATGAATTAAGAATAAGCAAAAAATTGAAATACTAAACTATCCTTCACATTATTTGTAGTTGTGTAAGATTATTTCTAACCCATTTGTATATTTATTTGGATTATATTATGATATGTTATGGTTCCACATTGATTAGGTGAAATATGAATATTTACTATAAATAGCATGGATTTACTACATTCACTGAAATATTAACAATAAATTCTAGCCTTATTATATAATCATGTAATTTGTTTTCATTTTATTGTTAATGTTACATGGTGACAATGATCAGTCACTTATGGATTACATTTAACAATTAATACTAATCGTTGGTTTTGAATGCCCTGGTATGACTAAGAGTGGGGAGAACCAGCTCTCCTTCTCGAAATGCTTTCACATGACCACGTGCATACAACCACTGCCACGGAAGTTCTACTCACTGTATTCTCTCAGCCGGGGTGTTGTTTACGAAATTGAGAGGACGAAAAGCGAATGTCCGACGCCTTAACCGCGTTGGTGGATATAGAGGGTTTAACTAGGTGAGTTGGAAAATCCTGGTTCCAAATTAGTGGTGGATATGGGCTACAAGATCCTAAGGGAAAAAATTAACGTACGAACCTATTGTTAGTCACCAGCTAACATGGAACTATGTCTCCTGACGTTACTCCACTGCTTTGTGGATCAAACA